TGATCAAAAATAGCCTTAAACCTATACACTTTTTAAAATTTTTTATTTAGTAACTTTCAGGAGGGTGTACTCATTTTTGCAACACAACATTTTATCAGTTTGATAAGAAAATCTTATTTTGCTGAATAATTTTGGCATTCTTGGTAGGTAATTGATCAAGCATGCTTGTTGGAACATTACATCTCCAAAGAACCCTAACATGTCTTCTAAGTAAAGAGTAATTGCTGAATTTGTTAAGTTTTAGAGGGGGTGTACTCATTTATGCTGTGCACTGTATATGTATATATATAAATAAATCACCCTTTCTTTCCGCCATCTTATTTATTTTTCACTGAGCTCATTGCAATACATTCTGGATTTTGATTCTCCTCGAAGAGTAAAAGTGGTTCTGCCTTAGAATCAGGTTAAAACGAGATAAATAAGGCGGCAGAATAATTAATTTACCCAGTGTTTGGAGCAGCCTTGGCGCCTATGGTGCCTTGCAATGCAGCCTCTCTAGGCAGCTCACTAGGTTGTGGAACAGAGCAAATGTAAAGCAATTTTTAGAGCTCATCCATCATCACTTTTCCTGTCAGGAACTGTTGCAATAGTATTTCACCACCATGCAAGTCTTTTTCACATATCAACAACTGCAGATAGCATCATGACTTGAAGAACTTCAGGAAATCGAAACACCAGACGGTCAATTAGCAAATGTCTTGAGTATGCAGACAACATCAGAAACATTAAAAAAAAAAACGGGAATATAGAAACAGATCTAAGTGGCCTGTTACTATACCTGACCTTTTGATCTCATACCTGATAAATCCTTTTTTGGTGCTCCTGCAGACAAAAAGAATTGTATGCATGAAACAGCCAGAGGCAGGTGCACCACGACTCCATCATTGAACTAGCTGCAGCCTGTCTGTACGACCGTGATCAACATGCTACTCTTCTAGCTCCTGGTCCCATTTCTATCCAGTGAGGAGACCCTGTGCCTGTGCGTTTGGGGTTACCTGCTCTCCCTCGGTGAAGACCCGGGTGCCGAAGCTCCACGTGATGGTGGGTGTGGGGTCTCCGGTGGCCTCGCACGTTAATGTGACCTGTTCATCCATTTCTGTTGTAGTCTGGCTTTCCAGATATGTGATTTTGGGTTTCACTGAGAGGACATTAATAGATATTAAAAGGACATTGTTTACATGGTTCACTGTTTACTCAACCTAATGACGTTCCAAACATTTTGTGCAACACAAAAGTAGATGTTTTGCAGAACAATATGGCATGTAAAGACAAGTTTTGATGTCCAAGTTTCCATATCTTTTGCAAATGATTTTGCCCATTTTTGGAAAACAGAAGTGTGAATGAGAATTGACAGCAGCTTTCAGTCTATTTCTATTATAAGACTTGAAATATGGTCATATCAACAACAGTACTATTGTGGTGTTTTCTCGCCATTTTTAGAGCTTGCCGGCATCCATCACCATTCACTTTCAATGTGGAAGAGAGCAACGTGAACATTCGGATAAATATCTCCCTGTTTTGTTTTATTTCATTTAAAATGTGTTTAGGATTTGATAGAAATTCTAAAATTTTTCCATGTGAAACCTTTTCAAAACACATTTCAAGGAGGAAAGAAAACAGTGTGTCAAGTGGGCTATTTCTTTAAGGCATAAAACAATATATTCATGCCACTACACTTTGTTCTCTGCAGAATAAAACTGAATATTTTTTTATTTTTTTGTCATTGCTGAATTTTCAGTATGAACTTCAACAGAGTGCTGTCAAATCTCTAGACTCCTGTGAGACTTCATATCTCATGAATTCTTACCAAAGACTTTAAGGCTAAGTTCTTGTTCGCTCTCCCCAGCTTTGTTCTTAGCAATGCATGTGTAATCTCCCTCGTCCAGCTTTGTCACTTCTAGTATTGTCATCTCAGAGCCGTCTTCATTGAAGTTGTATTTTTCGCCGCTCTCCAGTGGAACGTTGTTCCTGAGAGGAAATAAAGTACTAACATATTGAAACAATACAGCAATGGGGGAGACTAATCTGAACATTTTCTTTTCAAAGAGCCTGTTCTGTAAGGCATGCAAAATTCAGTGGAAAAATAGTTGGAGCGATTAACTAAGTTGATTAACTAGGGGTTTTCAAACTTTTTAATGATAAAAAATAAGAAATATTAAATAATTGTACTGAATAATAACAATAAATTGTTATTACTATTATGTTAAATTGTTGTACTGAATGTTAGTAATGAAAAAATAATACATTTTTGTGTATTAAATTATGTAATTAACAAATTTATAAAGAATAAAAAATATAAAGAAATAAAAAATATAATACTGTGTATAATATATTTTGTTTAATAAGAAACATAATAAAAAATAATACATATTGAATATTTGTTTTCCATGCACCCCTAAGTTTAATATTCACCTACTGAGATTTTACTGATTTAAAAAAAAAAAAAAAAAAAAAAATAAAAAAAAAATTGGAAACTGTT